CGGGAAGAGTAACCTCCCATCGCTCGGGGCCCAGTCCTCTCGATTTCAGCGCCAGAGTTACGGCTTTCCAAATAACTCCATTATACCGTTCCACCTGCCCGTTTCCCTGTGGGTTGTAACCCGTCGTTCGACTAGTTGCTATGCCGTGCTCTAATAGGAATTGTTTTAGCCCGGCCGACATGAAACACGGCCCTCTGTCTGAATGTATGTACGAAGGTCTCCCAAACATAGCGAAGAGGTCAGAGAGACATTTTACGACAGTGCCCGAGGTCATATCCGAGCACGGAAACGCGAAAGGGAACCTTGAATATTCATCAACAACGGTGAATATGTATCTGTTGTCTGTTTCGGTCGGTAGGGGCCCTTTGAAGTCGATGTTTAGTCTCTCGAAGGGGGAAGTAGCCTTGATCAGTCTGCCAGAAGCCGCGCCATAGAATCTGGGTTTTAGTTCAGCACAAACAGGGCATGAAGCATTCATTTGTTTAATATCTTCAACAGAATAGGGAAGATTTTGTCTGCGTACGAAATGTGCCATCCTGGTTACCCCTGGGTGGCACAGAGACACATGGAGGTCTTGCAAAGCCTGACTGATTGTTGCCGAACTGTAGACCCGGGAGAAGGTATCTGCAGCAGGGTTTTCCTTCCCGGGCCGGTAAACAATGTCGTACCTGTAGCAGGCTAGGTCTATCCGCCATCTCATAATTTTTTCATTCTTAATTTTCCCGTTATTTTTCCCATCAAACATGAAAGCCACGGATCGTTGGTCCGTAACGAGCGTGAAGTGGTTTCCCAGTAAATAATGTCTCCATTTACGCAGCGCTTCGACGATGGCGTACGCCTCCTTCTCTATTGCCGAGTGTCTCTGCTCGCTTCTAGAGAGAGTTCTCGAGAAGAAAGCGACCGGCCGCCCAGACTGATTAAGTGTAGCAGCTATGGCGTGATTTGAAGCGTCGGTCTCCACCACGAAGGGCACCGAGCTGTCGATCGATAAAACCACGGACTTACTGATATCATCCTTGAGATCGTGGAAAGCTCTTACGACAGCGGCATCTGGTGGAAAGTTTTTGCAATGCACTAGGGGATGTATTTTCTCGGAGTATTGCGAAATCCATCTTGCATAGTAAGCGAACATCCCGATCACCCGGCGCATTGTTTGCAAGTCCTGAGGTGGTGGAAGCTCACGGAGCGGGCGCAATCGCTCAGGATCAGGCTTAATTGTGCCGTCGGCTATTGTGTAGCCGAGAAGGTCAATTGACCTTGCCGAGAATACGCATTTCTCGTAGTTGAGAGTCAGATTATATTTTCCAGCAATGCTCAAGAATCTGTCCAGATTCCTATCATGTTCCCTCTGATCCCTACCGCACACTGTGACATTATCCACGTAAACAAAAGTGTCTTCGAGGTTTTCATCTGAGATGATGTCGTCCATAACCCGTTGGAAGCAAGCTACTCCATTCGTGACACCGAATGGTATCCTTCTGAACTGGTAGAGGCGCCGCCCTGCCTGGAATGCAGTGTACGGTTTGTCTTCCTCTCGGATGGGAATTTGATGATAGGCGCTTCGCAAGTCGATGGTACTGAATACCTTATAATTGGCCACGCGTTCGACCATCTCATCTATGCGCGGCAGGGGGTAGGCGTCGAGTTGGGTGAAGCGATTGACCGTTTGGGAATAATCGACAACCATCCGTTTCTTATGGTTCTGACTGCTGGTTACTAACACCTGTGCGCGCCATGGCGAATCGCTCGGTTCTATAATTCCCTCCTCCAGTAATCGCTTGGTTTCCGAAGTGATGAAATTCATGTCAGCAGTGGTATATCGCCGCGATTTGATCGCTATCGGTTTGCAGACCGGCGACAAGTTAGCGAACAGCTGGGGGGACGTCACCTCCGCGGTGGTCAACGCATTTAAAATTAGACGAGGCTTGCTTCCTCCAAAGGGTATTTCGACGCTCGTGTGCTGCTTGAGGACATTATGACCCAGAATTACGTCTGCGCACAAATCACGAAGCACCAGCACCTTTACATCCCGATGCGTGTACCCTTTTACGTCCAATTCAACATTGCAGTACCCTCGTACGCGGGATTGTAGTGAGGTGGCGGCCATGCATACCGTATTGTCAGTCGGGTGGATTACCCATTTCCTGCCCTTCACTAGCGAGCTGTTGACGAAACTTTCAGAGCTACCGGTATCAATCAGTGCCTCAGCCATATGCCCGTTAATTCGCACGTTGATGATAGCCTTGGATAGATTCCCCGGGGAGGCTGCAGTCAATTTATTTTGCGAGTAGAGAGCCGCAGAAGTGGGTTTATTCCTCCTTAGAGTAGATTTACATACCCTGGCATAATGCCCTTTCTTGTCGCAATTCATGCATGTGGCATCTCTGGCGGGACATTTTTGACGAGGATGCCTTTTGTACCCACAAAAGAAGCATTTACCGACCGGAGCAGTTGCTGAGGAGTTTGACGAGGTCTGGGTATCCGGCTCCTCGGGTGTTTCTCCATCCCTCATGTCTGGCTGTGTCTGTGCCAGTGGGGTTCCTTGGGTTCCCATCGTAGCAGCGTTCATGAGCAGCATCGGTGTCCCAAATGACTCAGATTGCTGCTGAGCCGTATCCATCGCTCGAGCCTGATCGACTACCTTGTCAAGAGTGGGTTGCGCTTTCTCTAGCTTGGATAAATGCCTCCCGGGTCGCTTCATTTCGGTGTTCCTCGGCGTTTACGGCCCGGAAGCTGCCGTCTTTTCCCAGCTGTTTCAGAGCTTGCAGGAACTGATCGATTGTCTCCCCGGCTGCTTGCTTGCGTGTGTTGAGAAGATGTCGTATGTATACCTCGTTCTTGCGCTTCACGTAGAGCGCCTGCAGCACGTCGATCGCTGCTTCGTAGGTGTCACACTCCGAGAAGAGCCTGTATACGCTGGGCGAGACATGATTCACAAGGGCGGCCAAGAGCCTGTATACGCTGGGCGAGACATGATTCACAAGGGCGGCCAATTTGTCGGCTCCCTCTTCGATGATGGTCAGATAGTGTGAGAAGGAACGGAACCAATGCGACCATTTCATTTCTGAGTCAGTCGCGTTTGGGTCTGCGTCGAACCTCTCTGGTTTGTAGATCTTGTCCATCGTTGGTTGAGAGAGCCGAGAAAACCAAATGGAATAAATTGAAATGAAAACGAGAGAAGAACCTTCAGAGTGTAGGCTTTATTCCATTTGATTGAAGCCGCTTCTACGGGCACATCAGGGGATACAGGTGCAGCAAGGAGTACATAAGCAGTAAGGTATACACGTGCAACTAATCACCGCAAAATAAATCAGTATAAGCCCGGAGTCCGATATACTCTCAATTCTCACCATTCAACGAGCACCAAGTCCGGAGTCCGATATACTCTCAATTCTCACCATTCAACGAGCACCAAGTGAACCGCCGCCGTAAACGACAATGCCCCTGGGACAATCCCCCCGACCGAGCCGAACCTCAGCTTTATCTATTCCGTGCTCGAGCCGTGCAACATGTGATCACACGTCACGACCTTCAATTCACCACATTCTCCCCGTCTTTAAAATGTAACTAGAGGCCCAACTAACGCACCATGATTACTTCAGCGCTACAGGAGTATACATTTCAAGCAACGCGAACTATCTAAACTACAGAAGCATACATGCCAAGCAGTGAGGATTATTTTGAGTTGTAGGAGCATGGTAATGAGCATCGATATATTATGTAACGAGCATATAGGAGCATGAGCATCGAGGATGCCGATAATCCCCTTTACAGATTGAGTCGGCGAGGGGGTTTTATCCGTCGACCTCTCCGGGAGTAAATGGCGGTTTCACTTGAGGGAGGCTTCCGATCCTCTTGGTGAGCCTCGACTCGTGCCGGGGATGACTCCTCGATCGCTCTCGGGTGGAACGCGGCAGCTCCGTCGCCACCATTCTCGGGTGGAGTTCCTGGGGGGGGAACACCTGGGGAGGGGATGTCAGAGGGAGGAGTGCCAGATGGTGGTGTA